GACATGAAAAAGATTGTAAAAGCTCCCTTTTTTTTTTTTTTTTGGAGCTTCCACACCAGATCACTGATAACTTTAGATTTTTTATGTCATGAATGTATGGAGAGTCTTTCCCACTGCACAGATAGCCTTTCTATCACTAGGTAGGAATATTTTCTCATCTTGCAGGAAATTGTTTCTGTTCAAGTAATAGCATAAGTGCCTCCTCAACCTCTCTATCACTGCTTTCTCAAACAGTTGTTACCTTCAAATCTAGATAGCCCATTTAAATGCTAGAAACTGCATTCACAGCAGTCCAGATGCTAAGTGTGCTTTTCTGCCCCTATTTTTCTTCCTTCCTATTATCCCAAGTTGCTTTGCCTTTTGATGCTGACTGGGCTGTAAGGGAAGTGGAGCTCCTAAAAGAGGTCCTAAACTCATTCTTCTGTTACTACCATGGCAACATAGGGGATAAACAGGCACCTTCTCTTGTGCTGATGTGGCTATGGTTTGTGACACCTTTGTGATAAGCTATTCCTAAACAACCTCAGAAAACTTAAGCTGTTATGTTTCCCTTGTCATGGTTTAAGCCCAGTCAGCCACGCAGCTTGCTTGCTCACTACCCCCCTTCTTCAACCCCGCTCCTGGAGGGATGGGGAGGAGAATCAAAAGAATGTAACTCCCATGGGCTGAGATAAGAACAGCCCAGTAACTAAGGTATAACACAAATCACTACTGCTGCTACCGCCAATGATACTAATGGTAAGGGAAATAACAAGGGAAGAGAATATAACTGCTCACTACCTGCTGACTGATACCCAGCCCGACCGAGCAGTGATCTCTCCCTTCCAGGTAACTGTCACCAGTTTATATAGTGGGCATGATGTGCTGTGGTATGGAATGCCTCTTTGGTCAGTTTGGGTCAGGCGCCCCGTCTCTGCTTCCTCCTGGCTTCCCTTCCTCCCTGGCAGAGCATGAGACTCAGAAAGTCCTTGGTCAGAGTAAACATTACTGAGCAGCAACTACAAACATTGGTGTTATCAGCACTGTTCCCAGGCTGAAAGTGAAAAATGCAGCACTGCCCCAGCTACTAAGAAGGAGAAATATGACTGCTACTGCTGAACCCAGGACAACTGTGTAATGAAATTTCTATTGGGTTAAAGAATAATAATTAAATTATCAAACTGAAGCTATTTCTGCTTTATTTTATCTATAGAGAAACAACCTGATTGGTTATCTTTTAAAAACAATTTTTTCTTAGGTTAAATTTGTATTTCTAGTCTGGTAGTATTTATGTGAGTTTTCAACTGGGCACACTTGCCATCTTGCACAGCTTTAAATCCATCAGCAAACGAAATCAGAAGCATGGCCACATAATGTGTTTTCTACAACTGCTGTTCTCTTGAAATCACTATTGTAATTTTTGCCGACCCCTCATCATCTTTGTACAACCTTAAAACTGACAAACTGAGACAGTCCCCAAAGCAAGAAGGTCTCTGAGGAGACCCTGAGGTGGCAAGGGAAAGGAAGAACAAGTGCCAACACAAGCAACGAAGAAGGGAAAGCAGCAGTGCCAAATCCTGATGCATATTTTCCTTAGCTTCCTGCCTAGCCAAGACACAGGAATTCAAAGCACTTTATGCACTAGAAAAATGGATTATCCTTGTTTGACCGCCTGCCCCAGGGTGCTGCATCTAAGCTTCCTGAAACTATGTTTGCTTTTTTTCAAAAATGTTTCGTAGGCCTCAGGCTCAAAACCACTGCCTGAGACAACTGCCTGTGTCAAACTGGTGCAGCCAACAGTGTGCTCTTCTTAAAAGCTAACACCTCTGCCCTGTCCGACATGGTGTAGGAGATGGTACACGATTTTCCCCGTCTATGAAATCATAGAGTGGTTTGGGTTCAAAGAGACCTTCAAAGGTTATCTAGTGCAACCTCCTTGCAATGAGCAGGGGCATCTTCAACTCCAGGTTGCTCAGAGCCCCATCTAACGTGGCTTTGAATGTTTCCAGGAATGGGACATCTACCACCTCTCTGGGCAACCTGTGCCAGTGTTTCACTAGCCTCATCATAGCAAATCATAGAATCATAGAACAGTTAGGGTTGGAAAGGACCTTAAGATCATCAAGTTCCACCCCCCCTGCCAGGGGCAGGGACACCTCACACTAAACCATGCCACCCAAGGCTCTGTCCAACCTGGCCTTGAACACCACCAGGGATGGAGCATTCACAACTTCCTTGGGGAACCCATTCCAGCACCTCACCACCCTAACAGTAAAGAACTTCTTCCTTATATCCAGTCTAAACTTCCCGTGTTTAAGTTTTAACCCATTACCCCTTGTCCTATCACTACAGTCCCTAATGAAGAGTCCCTCCCCAGCATCCCTATAGGCCCCCTTCAGATACTGGAAGGCTGCTACGAGGTCTCCATGCAGCAATGTCTTCCTTATATCTAGTCTGACTCTATCTATCCTCTTTTAGTTTAAAACTGCTATGCCTTGTCCTGTCACTACAGGCCCTGTTAATGAAGATGAAACATAATGACTTGTTAGGTGTCTACTGGGCCATTATTGGTAGCACTATTTGTACTATACGTTGTTGATTTTGCCCGCAAAAGACAGCAGGGACCATTTCAGTCTGTACCATCATATGGCGTAGTTTCTGCATTATTCAGACTATTTTTGAGACTGTTTTTGCTTTTAGCATATGCCTAAAGGAAAAAGTACTTTCTGAAGTTTTTCATTTGAAAAGCGTGTATCGATGTGTTACTGAAGATACAACGAAGAGTAAGCGACAGCTTGATGACATTTTCCTTTTTTTTTCTCCATAGTACTGCCCTTTACAGAGATATGCGAGAAGAGATGACTAGAACATTTCTTCTCCCTTGGTGAGACTCAGCATTTGCTACTGCTGAATTTCCTGTGTGGTTTGTAATGTTCCTGTTGTGCTAAACCTGTCTGGGTCATTTGCAGTTTGAGCCTGTCCTCTCCTGTTTGCTCTGATTTCAGTGTCATCAACAAATTTGAATTCAACACCGTTGAATTTACACCAAAGAGATCCCTGACTCATTAACAGGTTCTGACCCCCATGCAGCAGCTTCCTGGTCACAGGCCCAGAGGGAGGCTCTGCTTGATGGCTGACGTGCAGTACTGAAACCATGCAGGAGACTTGTTCCAGCTATGCCTTTACGCGTCTGTGACAAAAACAGGCTCATGGCCCGCAGCCAAGTGCTCTCTGAAGTATCATCAGGGTTGTTAGAGGTGCGCTGTGAGGCTGGGTTAAAAGTTTCTGTTAAAACAGGATGCCTTTTGCATGAACTTTTCACTATAGAACTTCCTTCTGACCTCTGCTCAGAGCTGGATGAAGGAGCTTGTCCACAGAAAAAAATTGCTTAAGGGAGTTACAAATATAATTTGCAGGGCTGACCTCCATGACTGGACCCATAAAGATGAACAGAGGACTGGAGGGCCTCTCCTGTGATGACAGGCTGAGAGATTTGGGCTTATTCAGCCAAAGAGAAGGTTCTAGGGATGACTTAGAGCAGCTTCCAGTGCCTAAAGGGGCCTACAAGAAATCTGGAGAGGGACTTTTACAAGGGCATGTAGTGACAGGATAAGGGGGAATGGCTTCAAACTGAAGCAGGGTAGGTGTAGGCTAGATAGAAGAAGAAATTCTTCACTATGTGGGTGCTGAGGCACTTGCACAGGTTGCCCACAGAAGCTGTGGCTGCCCCATCCCTGGCAGTGCTCAAGGCTAGGCTGGATGGGGCTTTGAGCAACCGGGTCTAGTGGAAGGTGTCTCTGCCCCTGGCAAAGGGTTGGAACTGGATGAGGTTTTAAAGTCCCTTCCACCCAAAACCGGGCTGTGATTGTGACTCTGTGATTAAAATAAATAAAAAATAAATTAAAAAAAAAACTGCAAAAAGAAATAAGAAAAAGTATTTCTTTATACCTCCTCAGAAAGGGTAAGGATGTCAACTGCCCCCAGGCTTTTGTTTTATTGCATTTTGAGCATGAGAAATCCTGATACACTTTACATGCGAGGGGAAGGTGGCCAACAGTCGGGGCGAAAGGGGATAACCGCCGGACTGAAATCCTGGCCCGGGCTCAGGCCCACCTTTCACCACCCGGGCACCACTTCAGGCACCGAGACGTTAGCGCCGAGGAGGCCGCGAAGCCGAGAGCAGCCCCGTCCCGCCACTCCCCTCAGCCGCACAAGATGTCCGCCGGCCGTTACCTGCCGCCCCCGCCCAGCCCCAGCCGAGCGGAACGGGGCCTGCACCTGCCACTCGGAGCCGCGGGGCAGAGGGACGCGGCGGCCGCCGACGGGTGAGGGCCTGCCGGGGTGGCTGCCGGGCGAGGGGCTGCAGGGGAGGGAGGGAGGGAGGGAGGGAGGGAGGAAAGGAGAGTGGGTAACGGGGTGGCACCGGCACCTGCCGCCGTGCAGCTGCCTGCCGGCTACCTCAGCCGGTAGGTGGGCCGGGTCGGGAGGGCTGCGAGGCTGTCCTCTGCAGCGGCAGCTCTTCGGAGTGGGCAGCCCGCCCCGCCGCCTCACCTGCCCGCTAGTCGGGGGGCTCGTCGGCACCGGGGGTGTTGAGAGTGGGCCCTGCGCTCGATCCCTGCCTGTTTTGAATCCATCAGCATAGGCGGGGTGAAGGCTTAGCTTGTTTCTGAACGGGTTTACGGGTGTTTAGAATAGGCGCAAAAGTATTTTGGTTGCGTGGGGTTGCAGCCTTGCTCCAGGCTATCTCTGTCTGCATCCACATCCTTTCTGTCCAGTGGATCCAGCTGCTCAAAACCTGCTTTTAGGAAGAGGAGAAACACCTGCCGCCGCCGGGTCAGCACACTCGGGTTGGGCAAACGCTGTGGGCAAAGCGATAACCTTCTCCGGGGTGCCTGGCCGGCTCTCCAGCCCAGCAGGTACGGTCATTTTGGTGGTGCTGATGGACACTGTTCAATTGATGATTCTTCCTCCCTCCCCCCGATGTGCATGGGTAAACAAGTGCTCCGGATGTACAGTACTGGTATTGTCTCAAATTAGATGTGTTTTTCTTTGCTGTTGGTTCTAAAGGAGGTAATGCAGAAGTGAAAAATGTAGTTTGAGTAACTCTTCATCACGTGCACAGAGGTTTACATATTCTTGGGCCTCCTTTAGCATTATCCTGTGATCTTGACTACTTTTGCTAGGTGGTTGTCGTAAGTCTAACTTCCCACATACACATGTATATATTACAGCAACCCAGATTATTTTGTAGGTGACACAAAATAGCAGGAACTAGAAGCAACTCAGAAACAACTGAAACTATTTGCTTGTACTTGCAAGGTGAGTACTTGAGTAGAGAGTAGTAGCTGTAACTGCCACTACTGCAGACTAGTAAGACAGAACAGAGAGTGGATATAGCTGACTCTCTGAACATTGTGATAAGTCTGTGTGCTCTAAGAATGCTTGTATAAAGTCTCAAATATCAGCGAATCTTAGCTCTGGTTTGAAAAATCTTCATATATGTAAAAAGACAACAAATGTGCTCCTCAGCTGCAGGTGAATATCTTAATTTGTCAAGAAGGTGGAAGAGTCATGAATATCTTAACGCATTGGTAAGGTGTGCAGGTGCCTGCGAAATGAATGGTAGCATCAAATCCTTTTCTAGTGCTGGGGCTGTGGCACATCTTGTTATCATCTTGGTATGATGCTGTACATGCCTTTGATCTGTTGCCCTTAGTTCTGTCGTATGTGCAATAATCACTTAATCTAAATAGATTTTTCTTGAGGTTATCAAGCTGATATGTCAGGCATGTTTAATAAACTTAAATAGATGATAAATTAGAGCAATGAATTTTGTTCTTCTAGAGCAGATTTCTATTACAAACTGGACAACCACGTAACTTTCCTGTTCTCTTTTTTTCTTCCCCCCCCCCCCCCCCTTTCCAGATGAAACAGATGACTGTATAACTCTTAAGCAGTCTTTATTTTTGTTTGCTTTGTGAAGGTGTCTGCTTGGCAAATCTGACTGCTATGTTTTCTGTCTCTCCTTTTGTTTCCCTCCCTCCCTTTCTCTCTTCAGAGTAGAGAGCAGGGAATTGTTTCTGAAGAAACTTCCTGTTAGAATGCCTTACATCAATGTGGCTGCAGCTCTGCAGATTTGTGCACTGCTGTCTGCACTGCCTGCACAATATTTCATATCCCAGTGGTATGGAACAGACTCTGCTCAGCGCATCCAAATAACAGAAAGGTTGGAAGTATCTCTTTCCCTGCTTTTTATAAAAATCTCTTTCTCATCCCCAATGACACTTTGTCTTGCAAAGCTGGAGTGTGGGTGAGATACATTGGCCATTCCTACACGAAAACAACATTCAAATCACACCTCAGGCATTTTTGTGGCTTAATGTGACTATTTATTTGTCCTTCAAAAAAAGATGTCCTTCAAAATTTGAATAATAATCATTGTTTTCTTTACATAAAAATCTGTGTACAATCTGTGTTAGTACACAACTGTCCCTCAATCTCATTCTGCTTTTGGACATTTCAAAATATGTTACTATGGGTTATGTCCCTTCAAAAAGGGAGAAATGAAGTGTTTGATTAGTAAGACTGTAACTTTCCATTACCTTTTGACACTTACTGTCAAAATAGATTTTCTTGCATAGTATGACTAAGTGCAGGGCCTTAAGCAGCAAAAATTTCGTAGTAAATTACTTAAGGCACTCATAATACCAGAGTTAAATAAGTTGTGCCATTTTGTATATGAATTAAGAAGTTATGTATTGACATGGTCATGAGTGTCTATCTCCAAATGTAAAGTGGAGCGTAATACATCAATCCAAGTATTTGCTAGTGGTAACCACTGGCAAATGTTGGTATCTTGAAGATGAACCATGCAAAGAGACTTAGTTTTAACAGTGCAGCCTGTGTAGTGCACTGGTTGTGCAGTTCATCTGTAGAACTTAAATATGTGAACTAATGAGAGCAAACAATGAAAAAAAGAACCAGGTCTGGCTTTGTGCGCAAAGGCACAGATTTAAATAACTCTTAAGTTTCATGATATGAGTCAATTGTGAACCCTTTAGATTTATGCAAAAAATTTTAGGATATTTTTAATAGTCTTTTGATTACATGCATCATGTTTGAAATGTCTCATGCTCAGTACTCTCAAGTAACAGTTGAAACTGAAGAATCTGATGCAATTTAGCAGTTCCTGTGGTCTCAGTACAGAAAGCAAGTAACATTGTCATGAAAAATGGCCTTTTCCAAAACTTGTATACAGTTTACTGATACAAGTGATGATTGAAAGAATATTTATTTGCAGTCTGGATATTAATCTTGAAGACAACTTGTTCCTGGCCACTGACTTTTTTTCCTGTTTGCTACAGAAGTGAAGCCTTAAAAGTTTAAATAGTAAAAAATATATATAAAAATACTAGAGATTGTTTTTTAAACCAATGTGATAATCACTTTTACCACTAAAGGGTCATTGCCTCTTGGAGAAGCTTTGCAAAACCTTACTTGAGTCTGGATGCATGGGCAGATCGTTTAAAGCTGTGGCTGTCAAAGACAAGGTAGGATGATGTTACATACTGTCTACACTTACGAATCAATTTCAAACATGGCCTTTTCTTAACAGGAGGGGATTCTGTAGGGGTGAAACAAGTAGCAAAAAGAAAGTGTCTCTTATTTGCTTATTGAGACTGATTTAGAACACTCTACCAGTTTTAAGAAAATCTTGTGCCTATATTCTACACAAACATGCAATTTGAGCTCCATGTGAAACAAAACGTCAATCATGGCAGTAATTCTATATGTAGTCTCCTCTACTTTAAATTTATCTGACTGCGGAGTCAGGACAATTTAACCATATTAGTGATTACAAGCAGCTACATGTTTGTAGGATCAGATCCTACAACGTGGGATGGATATCCTGTGCTGCATGTGGTAGTTCAAAAAAAGTTGAAATTGAATTCGAAAACTAGGATGGCAAATCTGTGGGTTTAGGAAGAAGGGGGAAACTTAATTCTTGGGCATGTGACAGTTGGTCTAGAAAAACTAAAGTTATATGCATTTATGTATATGCAATTTTAATTTAAGAAGAACATTGCTTGGACTTGTTTGGGGAGGTTAAAGGACTTGTTTGTGAGATTTAATTCTCCAAAGGTTTTACCTTGTCTGGACCTTCAAAGATCCCTTATTACTGATGATGTACAATAATCATGAGTGTGAAGTCCTCTGAACTGGGGAAGATTCAGACTTAGTTTTGCCCCCAGGAAAACTTAGGGGAATGGTGTATGAATGAAAACAGAATCTGTTCTTTTCTTAGGTTCACCATAAATTGCTTTGAAACTTTGTGGAAAGCTCCAGGCACATCTAAAAAGAAAGCCTTTGAAGACTGAATGATCCCTTGCTTATTTGTATATAGTGTTTTTATATAGTTTGAGCTGCTTGTGTCTTCTGATATCTTATAATGTAAAGAATTGGTTATCCTAAAATTGCGGAGACATTTGAGACCTTCCAAACCTACTATATTAGCTGCTGTTTTCAACAATGCAATCTGAAAGTCAGGATATTTGCCCATTCCTGTTTCTGTTAAATGGTATTTTTCAACCTTAAGACTTCCTACAGATTTGAGCTAAACCAAGACTTTTAAAAAACACCTTGTTTACACAGTTGTGCAACCTGCTCTGGCCTTCTTGCAGGTGGGGTGAAGGGAGTAAGACTGAAAGGTGAACACCGTAAAAGAGGAAGGAGACTAAGAGAGAGAGCCTGCAGTTCTTTGACACCAGCAGGGTTTCTGGCTGGTGTGGGTGAAGAATGTTAACCCAACTACATCTGTTTGTAGACTTCTCCTGCTGCATTGCCAGCAGAAGGAATATTTGAAAGCTCCCTGAGTAGATGTTTAGTTTGATCACTGTTTCTTTACCCTTTCTTTTTCACAATAGCATGAAAACCAGAAGACATTTCTGCTTTCTAAAGATGCCCCTCCCTTAGTCCCCATCCTTTACATTCAATGAAATTCAGCCTGGTGCAGAAGGAAAAGCTAAACTTACAGTAGCCTTAAGATGGGACTCATTGCCAGGCACCTTGTCCATACCAGTGGTAACCAGCCTGTAAATATTTTACAGAAGATACTAAAGAATCTCTCTGTTAGATTTTAGAACAATATTTGTTCGCATGTGTAAAATAAATGGGTTTCCTCAGATATAAAAATTTCAATGCAACTGTAGAGTTACATATCCAAAGAAATGAGATTCCCCTGTTAGAACAAATTCCTATGTCTTGTGTACTTTTCAAAGATTGTTTTAACGTAAAACTTATCTGGGCTTCAAATTGTGAAGAATTTTGTATGAAAAGCTTTGCAGTATCCCTTTATAAATGCTGAAGATTGTAATAACCAGAACACAAATGATCCTAAACCTCTGTTTCTAAAGAGCTTGACTGTTGGGTTACTTCCTAATTTCACATTTTAGGAATTGGTACTATGGAGCAAAGAAAACTCTAAGTGGTGATAATGAACCAGAACCCTATTCTTATTTTGCAGGTATTGGAGTCTTTGCAATCCTTTTTTTGATTTTGCTTGGGATGGTGTTATAAGGTCTTCTATAGTGGGTTTCAATACTTAATATATGTTTGCCTGTTCTCTAAGCAATATTGATAATGTTCAGTAAGCAAAACAGTAAAATCCAGAGCTTTTTCACCTTGTGTTGTGTAACAGCATCAATAAGCTATACTATATGTATCTATTTAATTGAATACATCTGATAGTATGAAATTGATGGTAATATTGATGTATGAAAGAGTGGTATAGCTTTCACTTGATTCAAATGAACTGACTTGAATCAATTTCATAAAAGGAAAAAGAAACAGTTGATCAGTCTGCTTCTGGGAAAAAAATTCCTTGCAGTCAGACTGAATAGAAGAATTCCATGAGCTAAACTGGGAAAAAATAACAGCAAACCCATTTATCATGTGTAAACACTGTAGAAGTAATTGTCAATACATTCAGGTGTTTATGCTTTCCAAAATTCTGTTAAGACCCACCATGTAAAAGCAAAGGCATACAAATAGGAAAGTGCCTTCCTTGGTGGATGCTGTTTTGTCAAATATCATAGTAATATTCTGGGGGAAAACCAAAGTACCTGTTCCCTTGTTTACTTCACATATTAATCTAATTGTCAGTTCTCAACTGGTAAAAGTCAGGAGAATTTCAGTGTTTAATATACTTGATCAAACACTTATCCTTGATAAGTCTCTTTCTATGTTAAACTAGAATCAACTCACATTCACAGTCCAAAGCCTGAATATATTCAGTTCAGTGTGGGACAGGTAATAGTTCACAAGAAATTTGGCTATTCTGGAGTCATTATTGGATGGGATGTGAAAGCTAACACTCCAGGAGAACGGCTGCAACAGAAATATCCTCCAGTGAAACAGGTTTGAATGTGTTAAACTCTTGTTTTATTAATATATACACAGAGTAACTATGGCTCAAAACCCCCCTCAGAAACACTATTACAGACAGACTTCCTTTTAACTCCTGAGAAATACATAAGAGCCCCATATCACCCCTGCAGCTGAGCGGTACCTCTTCTGCTTCTGTGTTGCTGTCACAGTGGAGCTCTGTTTTAGCATCACTGATTAGTTAAGCTTCGCTGGTCAGGATTGTACTGGTGTCCTGGGTTCAGCATGTCTCAAATGAAAATAACTCACTTTTAATGCACAGTGTTGTATTTAAAGCAGTGGTGCCAACCTATAATCACAGAACCATAGAATGGCTTGGGTTAGAAGGGACCTTGAAGATCATCCAGTTCCAACCCCCTGCCATGGGCAGGGACACCTTGCACGAGGCCAGGTTGCTCAAAGCCCCATCCAACCTGGCCTTGAACACTGCCAGGGATGGAGCAGCAGCAGCTTCTCTGGGCAACTTGTTCCAGTGCCTCACCACCCTCACAGTGAAAAAAATTTTTCCTGATAATGTTTGAATGGATTTCTTGTGGTGTGTTACTAAAGTTGAGAGGTTGTTAAATCATCTTGTAACTGATCATCCATAATTGGTAACATCTTCATTGCACCTAAGAAACACAGGTAATCTGTTGTGTTTGATCAGTTTCAGTTAGAAAGCTGTTGGGGATCTGGGTATTGGAATGGAAATCTATTTTTAAATGTTTTTGCTGGAATTCTTGAAGCTTTTGAAATTCTCTAGCCGAAGTCCTTGTATTTGAAAATCAGATGCTAAATCTTTGTTGACAGTGCTGGTCTGATAATAGAGTGCTGCATACTCTGTGGGTTGGCTGCTGCCACGCTGCTCAAGTGGCAGGAAGGCACTAATCATTAAGTCAAAGAGGACTGAAAATGAGAAACTGCCTGTAGCAGAGAATTCACATTCAGCTGGGAGCAGACGTTCAGTCCTGTTCTGTGCATTGTGTTGCTTCCCCACTGTAATTTTATCCACCTGCCACTCATCTTGGGCTTCTAAAACACCTGCATCCTTGCTTTCTTTTCTCCTCTCCTTTTCTCCCCTTAGTATTGTTGCCACCAACTGAATACCCTTGAATTTCCCCAAGGGCATTCCGATTCTTTTTATGTGCGTTACATAGTTCTGTTCTCCCAGTGACCTGGTGTTCATCTTTCTTGTTTTAATTTCAATAGTGATGACATGTGGTTTAAGCCTGTGCCTTTTGTTTGTTTTTTAACTTGCCTTTGCCTATCATGTTACATGCATCAGCTCTGCAAAATGCCTTCTGACCTTTGCAAGACAACTGCTAAGCCTGATCCTTGCAAGTCCCCTCCAAACGTTAGCCAGGATGTCAGCCCAGCTTCTCCTTGCCTTTCTCTGACTTTCAGTTCTTTACTAAATTGCTGAGCAGAGGCCACGTGGATCAATACTAACTGCTTCATGAACTCATTACCTGTCTGCATGCATCTATTGTTTAGACTGTGGGTTACTTTGGGCAGGAATGTTTATGGGTAGTAGTGAGCATCGTGGGACCCTGGCCCATGTTTTGTTTTCAAAGGCACTGTAAAAATAGCAGTAAGCTACCCTTTTTCTTTCTTGGCTGCAAGATTTTGCTATATCCATAGAAGCTTCCTGAGCTCTGTCCAGGATTGGGTCCAAGACTGTTATGGGGCCCATATACAAAAGCAGGGGGATATTCTAAGTCAGGTTTCTTGCCAGACCTATGGGAGAATAGGTGAATAAAAATCTTGGCTCTTAAAAAATGTTTCAGATGTGGCATGAGCTTCATGTATTACAGGTTTGATGGCTTTATATTTAATCTTCCAAATTGATGTTGGCAAGATCGTAAAAATGAACTTGATGTATGTATATATTGAGTGGGTTTAGGTTCTGTAAGCCTAGGAAGAGTTAACTGATTCTATAAATGTAATCTTTAGTCGGCATCTCCCCTTGAAGCTATTTACTTTCCTTCTATTTTTACAGGATCTAAAAGGTACTCCTCACTATCGAATTCTAATTAACAAAGCAAATGGATTTGGCAAATCTACAGCTTACATTCCTGAGGAAGAGATAACAATTATTATGGGATTGGAGGTGCTATTTATTTTTTATTCAATTGCAACTTTTACGTTATCCTGTGTGTTTAAAAGCTGGCTGACCTTTGGCTTAATAGATACTATCAATTCTGTAAAGTTAGTGAAAACTAATAGAGAGAGCAGATAAATAAATTACTGCTGTACTTTCAAGTATGTAATGAATGACCAAACCCAGGTACTGCCTCCTTCAGAGTATCCCACTGCTTAGTTTTGTAAGTGTTGTAGCAGCTTGCCTTCTGTTACGTAGAGGCTGCTGCAGACATGGACTTTTGTTTTAGGGTTTCACTCACCTGACAAAGATGAATGAATCATTTAATACTTTCTACTGGATCTAGCAAAGTATATTGTTTTCTCAATTCCACTCTGTAAAATCTGCATTTCCAAGAGCTCCTGCTCAGCTGCTGCCCAGGCTGGATCATGTCTCCTTTCTTGGCTGCAAAACTCTCTGGGAGCCAGAAATTTGTTTTGTGTATCACAGTCTCGATAGCTTTTGGTTTCTAGCTTATGCAAGCGCACCTGATTCTTATGCTAGTCAGAGACTTTGATTCAGAAAACCAACTTCAGGCACTCATGCCAAATATGAACAGCTTTTGCAAGGGAAGCATTGCTCCTGCGGATGCCTTCTTTTAAATTGTGATGGTGGTAGTATCTGTATTTGAAATAACAGCAAGTGCTGAACTGTTCCTCTAGGAGGAAATGCTTGGTCTAGTTAAACAGAGGAGATTCAAATAGGCATCTTCTGCCTTTCAGGAGAACCCCCCAAAGGAAGTGTATGAGTTAGACTGGCCTAAAGTCCTGAAACTGTGCCACTGCACATAAAGGACAACCCCCCACCCCCAATCAGTGGGGTGAACAGTGTGACACCATCACCTCTTTTATGTGGGAGTTCAAGTCTTTATTGCTGTTTTAGCCCTGATTGTAATATAAAATGTGCTAACATGCCTGAATTTAGGAGCAGGCACTATGCTGTCCCAGGATAAGCGCTATCAGTATTTAAAATTGGGTTCTGACAGCTCTGTGTCTGCACTGTTCCTTATGTCAGTCAGCTGGCGACCTTCCGTTACCTCTATAGTCCATGGGCAGAAACAGATATCTCATCTTAAACATTCAGTAAATTAGCCTTTAAGATGTCAGATTGCTTCATTCACCTGCATGACAGGCTAGTTCTCCCCACAGATTATTAGGAGAACTCATAGTAACAAGCTCAGAAAGTCAGGTATTTGAAAGTTAGCTTGTTGAGATTAATTACAGCTGGTGAGTCAGGCCTATGCCTCAAGTTCAAAAGGTCTGTAGATTGCCCTCACTCAGCCTTTCCTGCAGCTTAATAGGCAATTTCCTGAAGAGCTGAGAATGATGAGACAATGCTTAGACTTGTCTTAACCCTTTCCCAGTTGGCAGCTCTAACCTGCTCACTTCAAGTTTCCTGCATCATGACAAGGCAGGAAACTCGGACTGCCCTGTGTGCATTTGCGTCTCCAGCTTAGACATTGTGGTACCTAAGGCCATTGCCTTGGTGTGTCTTCACCATTTCTCCAACTGCTTCTTTACTGTTCCCACTGCCTAATTGGACTGGATGACTGATCCACTGTTAAAAATAACAAATAGCTCTACCAACAACATGTGAGTGGCAACTACTTCAGTAAGAAACAGTGCCGATTTTAAAACAGCAATGCTGGTGTAAATCTAGCACATAGCATCCCATGAGATGTGCTCAGCATTTGTAGAGTACTTTAACAAGTTTATGTTCTGATGACATAAATTAGGTTTATACAGATCCATGATGAGATACATGCAAAATCTCACTGAAAGAATCTCCATGTACATTGTGTATTTAAAAACTCATCAGGAGTTTTCAAAAAGTTACCTGTAGTAATTGTAATGATTCTTTTAGGTATGTTTGTGTTTATTGCTAATTTTGGTGCTTATTCAACTTGACATTGTTTTTGCAGGTGCACCACCCTGATATGAAAGCCTATTTCAGTGGATATGATGGAACAAAATACATCATGCAGCCATGGTTGAAAAAGATCTATCCTCACGACTGAAGGGTTTGTACATGTAATGTACAACCACACAATGTATTTCCTTTTTAAATGGGAGCAAATAAAACTCCTGTATATTTTTTTCTATGATGAAATAAAACATTCCTAGGTATGTTTTATGTTGAACAATCCATTTCATTGGAAGTGAACACACTGTGTGTTCAATTTACCACAACTCGGGATGGGGATTAGTTTCCTTCTAGATCTGTGAGGAAAGGTCTTTATATAGCCTGGGTTCAGCTGGAAAGTACCAAAGGTTTTTGCACATGAAGTATCTGGCCCTTTTACAAGGGCAGAGGAAGAAACTAAATAGTTAAGAACTGTACTTTCAGAGTTAATTGTAACCTTAGAGCTAAATAAATGCCAACAGGAACTGAAATACTTCTGGGGAGAGCTGTAGTAATTAAATCCTGCAATACTTCAGCTATTCTCTCTTATCAAAGCCTGCATTATGCTGCTTTCAAATGAGACATGCAAAGGAAGAGTTCATCTGCTTTTTTGCACATGGACAGATATGTTAGGAAACCTTCTACCTGGGCTCACTAAACAAGCCTCATTCTTAATATCCTCTTCTAACCATACTTGCTATCATAAGAATAAAGTTAAAAAAAAACCCAACCCAACACACTCAAAAAAGCGTGAAAAATTTATTAATATGTAGGGTTTGAAGATTTCTAGAGCAACTTGTTTCTCCTGTTTTCTTTTCCCTTTATCTCAAACACAGCGAACACTCTACAAGAAGCATAAGCTGTAGCATTCTGGATTCTTTCCTGCAGAGTCAGTAAATCTGGGGAGTTGGGAAGGTGACTCTCAGTGTGGCCTCCCCATTCTCTTGTTTCTTCTTCTCTTATTAATAAAGGTTTTCCCAGTGACTGGCCAAAGAGCCGGCAGACTTCCTGGGCCTTCCGTCGGGTGTTTTCAACAGCAGCAACGCAGACTTGACGGCTGAGAGAAAGAAGCAGCAGCGCAATAATAACAGGGCCAACTGAATTCCAAGTATTCCTGCCAAACATTTATTGTATTTTACTTTTTAAAGCCTCAGCTTTTGTAACTGCATAGATGTAAGCACATCACCTGCCATCAGCTTCTGCGCAGTAGCTTAGGAGTATCCCAGATGCTCCTAAACCACACTGGCCTGAGCTCCTGCCTAGGTACCTCTGAGATACACTCCGACACCTGCAGAACCGTGAGCAGCAGCCAGCTGAGCTTGCTTCTTGCACCAGATATAATTCTTTTGTTTAAAGAGGCAAAACCCAAACCAAGACTAAAATTCCCTCTGCCCCTGCAATATCAATAGAAGCAGCACTTTGAATAGTTAAAATCTAAAATATCAAGATTCTCAGCTTCAAAGTAGCATGTTTCGATGCTGAGCAAGCACCACACATGGTTCTTTTCAGATCATGTCAGCAGCTAAGAGTAACTGGAATTAGCAAGGGTACTTTGAATTACCAGCATCTGGTAACACACTTGTACCTTCACAAATAAACACAAATCTACACATGCTGACGTAGTGACAAAAGTCAAATTCTGTTGACCCAGTATTCACAGTAGCTTATCCTTCCATTTATTACATTCTCCTTTTGCACATAGGCACTGTCAAAAGAACGAGCTGTATCTTCTAGGGTAACCATTAATTTCCAAGTTATGTTTGAAACAAATACTGAAATATTTGAACATAAATTTTAATAAGTATGAAGAAAACAATTCACTCCCACTACAAACAGGATAAATTATGTATTCTATGTATTCCTATTAACTATTATACAAGGCTGTACAATCTGTGGCATGAGTGAGAACTTACCGAAGGGTGTCCACAGCTTCTGGTGTATGGTAGAAATGGGGTGGGCTGATGGTAACAGAGGTTCCTAACTTTTCAATGAGTAGATTGCAAACATTCTGCATTTTTCCAAAGTCACTGAATATGATACAGACCTGGGAGTGAACACAGACGGCACGCAAAGTTTTTCATTTTCTCCCTATGACTTAACACTTGGATATAAATCAGTATAAAGCCAGATATGTAAAAACCGAGTAAACATATTAGTCCTGTATATAACACCAAATTTATTTACTTAGAACACTTTTACATAGCCCTAGAGACTGTAATTAGGTTTTCAACAGAAAGTAGTTCATAAAATGGTTTAAAATTGAGGATTAAGAAGTGCTCTTTTGTGAGGAAGTGAGGCATTCTTGGTATGTAGACAATCTGAAGAATGAATGTGCTCTTTGGGACACATGACCAGGTGCATCCCAGTTCTTCCCTTTTTTAGGTTACTAGATGTTAATTATGCAGAAGTTCAAGCAAAATGATGTGGAAATCATGGTGCAGGAAGGAAAATTACATTTTAATTCCAAGCATTAGGTTCAAGAAACCGAAACTATGAGAATAAACTACGGGTAGCCCCGTCCAGCTTGCAAGTGAGCTCAAAACCCTGCATTGGTTTAAGACTCACTTCAGTGCCTACAGAGAACTGGGCACTTCAGACTTGGATTAAAACCAGTTTAAACATCTAGCTATCTGTGGCTTTGGCAATAAGAAACATTAAATACAGATGCATCAGGAATTCAAGTGCTTTCCTGAGTGCTGCAAAGCAAGCATCACTGTCAGCCCTAGAGAGATTAAGAGCCCTACCACTTTTCTTGTGGGGAAGTGCCAATCCAGGCACTGACTTTCCAGGCAGAAGCCACCCTTTCCCTGTAGCAGAGCACAGTCACCAGGAGCGAAGCAATGATGCTGAGCTGCTACAGCATTCCAGAACCAGAAATCCTGGCTCCCAAATCTTGGTTTTGGGAGAACTAAATCCCTTGTGTTCACTTCCCAGTACAATGCTCTTACCACCAAGTCGGACTCACCCTCTCTTTTATTCCTGACTCATTCCTTTCTTTTTGTACACCTTCAACAGGAGAGGAATTAAAAAAGCTGTGGTAAAGAAAATTCTGCTGCTGACCCGTGACATACAGTCAGCCCCGTGACGGCTGCAGTGCCTGCAGATGTCTATCCCAGTGAAGTTATACAGTACAGAAATCTAAGTTATGGTACTTCAGTTGCACTGCAGTAACTTCCTGTGTATACCATAGACTTACCTTGTGGAAAATGTGATAAAATTCAAGGCAGTGGAATCGCTTGGTGAGAGAGGAGGGGGTTACTTCATATATAGGGTAAGGTAAAAAATGGATATTGACAATTATCACAAAGTAACTACTGCACATGTCTTACTGCCCTCGGTAGCCTAGTGGTGCAGCACATGTAAGCTCATCCTGGCTTGAATCGTGGCACTGGCTCCATAGCTCTCCACATAACTGAGGCAAAGCTGAACTTAGAGCCTTAAAAATTGACCAAGATGAAGTGCCAGTGCAATTCCATCTTCTACTTGGACAAAAGCTCATGCCTGTCCTCCACAACTGCACCAAGTCTGCATCTTCACCTCTGCTCTGCAGCCTCTATCTGTAACTCAGGGGCTGGATCGCTTTCTGCAAGGCGCTTTATCAATCTGAACAAAGATTGAAGATGAGACCAAGTCTAGATTTCTCTCTTCAGTGGGAGTTCTTGCCATATATAAAAAGCATGCATCCTCTTGTGCTGTTTTGCCAGAAAACTGTCATGTTGTATTTTGTGAAAAGTTGGAAGTCTCACTGTGAGGACCTGTCACAGTGTTTTCCAGATTGCTATCAGTGTTTATGAGATTAGTTCTCTCAAGGGGATGAAACAAAAGAATGCTCAAACAAAAGAACCACAAGTCTTAATCAAGAGATAAGCTACTCAGACTGGGGCAGTTTGGGCACTCAGGAACTTTATTGTTAAAAAAGCATTTAACCAGGTGCCCTCAGGGGAAGAAAATAACTGAGCAGTAACAGTGAATTTTGTTGGGTTTTCCCCATTAAAAAAAATCAGCTGAAAATAAATTCCACTTACATTTGCAGGGGGTACTTAATCATTACAATGCAAAGCAGCATTTCCATTTCTTCTATTATGATTAAGGTTAAAAAGTGTGAAAAAGCAATACAAGGGTATGCAAAACCATTATGAACATTGCAAGGTTTGGATAAGGCTGTGAAGGACAAGAAGCTACAGGTTATAGGGAGGTGAGTAGATCAATAAATGTAAAAACCCAACATAGCATTCATTCCATGACAGCACCATGCAATAAATTAACTATTACGATTTAGACACTATAGAGCTTTCCTTTGTTATACCATGAATTAAAATTTATCTCCTTACAGTTGAAAGTGTGTCTTGTATTCTTGATTATACCTTGAAAGAGCTATCTGGGCGTTGCTTTAGTTTTTTAAAGATTTACAGCAGATAACTGGTGAAAAGTTTGTAGAAGGAAATAATGCACGACTTCCATTTGTGTAAAACACAAATATAATGGCAAACTCTTTAGTAAAGAAGCGAGCAGAAGTTAGTTTTAAATTCATTTATATTGCTGAAGTATGCAAATACACTGGGCAGTGGAGCTTCATTGGTTTATGAAGCTGCACTAATGAAACAAGTACACAGATAAAGGGAGAAGCAAGGAGAAACTAATCTCTGCATAAAGAGCGACCATACTGATAGTTAAATGCACAGGGCAGCCCAAATATCAATAGTGTGGCTAGATTTTTCAAGTTCTGACACTCAGGATCTAGGCAACCACGCAGCTCTTGAACAGCAATTACTCCTGGTTTGAGCTGCCTACAAATGAACACTAAATCCAAACTTTCCACCTACAAAAAAAAAACGAATAGCAGAAGGGAGACGATTGGTGAAGTTACCACTGAAGACTGAAGTAAGCCTTAGCTTGTCATAATTCAATATAGTTTTATTAAATTGTTAAACACGGTGATTTAAGCTCTCATGATAGTAGGTGTCTACATTATGAAGTTAAAGTCACTGAGAACACAACACTGATGAGACCTTAAGACTCATTCTAAAACTCCCAAATTTGTTCTCCAAATTCTCAATTATTTCTGTATTTATTGGTGTTATTTAGATGAGAATATACCTGAAAGCAAGAAGACTAAAGAGGCTGAACTCTGGTTTAGGGGATTGTAAATAACAGCTCTATAGAACTAAGCTATCATTGTATCGCTGGCTTCCAGGATTTCTTCATAGGAATCTGTAAATTTGCTGGGTGAACATTAAAGTTTCATGGTCTAAAAAGATCTACTGGCTGAATATATATCATTTGCCTCAATGAATATCTCCAGCACAGCATTTATTTATTACTACAGAACAAACATGCAAAATTATACTCTCTTGAGCCACTTCTGAAGTAAACAGGATTATTCCCATAACATTCAGCTTCACACAGCACTTTTTACCTGCAGGATTCCAAGTCAATTACCCAGGAAACAATTAGCTTTGCTTTACTTGCAGCAAGCTAATGGCAGAGTCGTGTCAGATAGACCAAAGTCCAGGTGCTGTTCAAGAGTGGATTAAGCAGATCTAGATTATGGCTGCCATGCCACTGTTGTCCCCCATCCACTCTTGTCCTCTGCCTTGCATTGCTTACAGTTCAGGGAGCTAAAATAATGGAAAAAATAAAAACTAATCTGGAAAAAGAAGAGTTATTAGCTGGAGATGCTTTCTGAACTGACCTATCACCTGATTACCTAAGTACAACTCCTTGCAAGAAGTAGAGGGCAGGAAGGGCAGTGGGTGGAGGAGAGTGCAGAATCGTGGGTTTGCTTACACTGCCACAGAACAACAGCTGTAGAGCTCCAGAACCAAATATTCCTTTCTGTAGCATTGTCTAACACTTAAAAAGCACACATTCATCTGAGAAGAAAGGATTTTTTTTCTCTATTATAGTGGCAGAAAACAAGTTCTACACAAGACAGAAGACACCATCTGAAATCTGCTTTAAACTGCCATCCTCAATAGCTTCTTTTGACTGTGCTGCCTTTAAAGAACACCTACTCCTCAGTATGAGGAAAGGCAGGCTTTGCAGTCTGTCCTCCTTGATCCTTGAAATATTTCTTATTCTCCTTTTGTTAATATTTTTGGTTAGGTTGAATACGTACCTCTGCTTCCATTTGGTAAGTATTTTCTACTCTATTAAAATCCTCTGTTACAGTCATATTTTCTTCCTAAAACAAAGTACAAGAACAGGATCTTAAAAGACTGAAATAAAGCACCTGTTGGAATTGTATGTACATTGTGCCTTGTAAAGGTTGAACTGTTTTAGCTTATTACTTATGGCTTTGCAACAGAAATATGGAATTTTCCATGCAAAACTCTTCAGTTAAAAACTAGCTGCATGCTAAAGACTTCCTGATGTTATTTAAATTATACAGTAGCTCTATAACACCATTTTATCACTTTTCACTTGAAGAGAACAACTAGGTCTTCAAAGTGACTGCTAGCTAGAAGTGGTGTGTATCAAAGTGTGACTGTGAATTCACCTGGTTCAAAAATCTAGAAGCTTCAATTGCTTTCAGAAAGTTCGGGTGTGAAAAGTGCATTTCAGGCCCCTATTTTAAGATATTTTAACAGCAGTGTCTTGTAACAAGGTGATGAGAACAATGACTGAGCACTGGTTATTCTGGCAGAATGATAACCTTTAAAAACTGTTCCACCAGTGACACTTTTGCATTCACAGCAGCTACATTATTCAACATAATGGCTGCACAGAGCACTAGCAAATCCTCTGTGACTTATAAATAAGATACTGAACTAAGGTACAGAATAATTTTGGTTGTGGCTGAGTATGTGACAAGCTTGCTAGTGGTCTAACAATCACATTTCTCTCACACACTTGCTTTTTCAGTAAACAGTTTGGAGGAACACTTTATTGTGAAATTACTACAACACAACAAAAAGCAAAGTTTGAAATTTAATTGTAAATATCACTTCGAATTTAATAGCCAGGAGTCATAGGGAAGCAGCTACTAAGCCTTTCAATTACTGAAAAAGTTTTACTTACTAAATTTGTTTGCACAGGAGAACAATATTTGCTTTCAGTTTTGACTGACATTTCAAAAGATGCTTTGTGTCTGAATATTTTCTACGGAGGCCCAAATCTTCAAGTTTCTCCTGTAGCATGCATGCGTAAGTTTATATAATGACATTAATCATGAGAAGCATTTTCCTTTTAAAATATCATATGGAAATTTGATCCATAATTACCATTGCACAGCAGCCTACAAGAAACAAATTTTGAAATGTCAATTTTTTGATTGACTGGTAGTACTCAAATCCAAGAACAACAGTCCTATTCTTGGATAATCTCTTCCAGTAAGGGCAAGGACCAGAGCCAGTTAGTCACTAAAAACTGTATTTCCCCTTTTATGTGGCTGGCTGTTGTTTGCTAAAGAGTGAACAAGTGAGTCCAGAACCAACAACTCATTTAACTTTCAAAATGGAGCAAATGTTACTATTTATGACAGAATCCAATTACAACTGACAAGAAAGATATTTTTCTAGAGCCCTTACATATCTTACATAAATAACCACAGAGAGAAGCTTTCTTCTACAACTCTCATTTCACAGAAATAACTATGCTGTAATAAAACGTAAAAAAAGAAAAAAATGCATTTGCATTCCCTTGTCCCCACTCCTTAATCATCTTTTCGAAAAAGTCCTCTTTCGGGGTGAACAGGTTCGAGCTTCCAGTTTGGTTTTGCCCTCCACGAGGTTCTTGTGTATTTAAGGACAGTGCCATCCTGTGGCTCCAGGCGCTATTGCAAGATCAACTGAAAGATCATTTTGTGCCGTCTATTATAAAATTTCCCTCGCAGCTAATTTTTATCCCACCAGATTTGACAGTAGCTGTGAAATACGTGTTTCTGAAGATAAATAGGCGAAATAATCACTTAAGTCATAACAAGGTTGCCTCCTGTGATACATCCTCGGTTAGATACTTTGTTCCTGTGTTGGACTAAGATATGGAAAAGACAGGTAGGTGATGGCTGAATTTTAAGTTGGAATCAAAACTTCGACTACATCAAAAGCAAAAGGCTTTTTTTATTTTCCCCTACTGCTTATGTCTATTGCTCATATTTTGGCAGAGGGCCTATCCATTTGGTTTCAAAAGCCACAGGAAAAATAAGTTTTCACTCACTGAGGGAAAGCTACACTTTTGATGTGTCATGTGTGCAGGACTTCTGCTATAACTTTCTCAATTTTCTAAATCTGTGGGTCAAAATCGCAATAGGAAAATTAAATGAATATAACATTATTGTTACGTGAGAACTCAATTACCCCAAAAGCCACTGAACAATTCTTAACAGAATAGCATTTGTATTCCGGTTATACAGCCTATTCTCCAAGTCAGCAGTGACATAAACCATCACTGCTGCAGATACTCTAAAAAACAAAAATGAAAAAGACAGTCATTATCCCACTGAGCCTCTAACATCTAGTCTAGACCTGTGTTCCACCTTGTATTTTCCTTTTCAACAGAACAAAATCATATATAGCCCTTCCTCCTACCTATCTGCTACATATTTACCTATTTCTGAACAATATTTTCTCCACAGGACCATCGTGTCCATCCTCACAACACCACTGCTCTTTACAGGAATGATTGCTCCTTTATCCAGGAAGAGAACAGGGAAAAACCTAAATAGGTAAGTTCGCAAAAGCATGCTGCAAGGAAACAGCTGTATAACAAGACAGTATGAGAAAGCCCATCTGCAGATTAAGTTATGCGTTCTGCTCCTGTTACTGAGTTAAACAAAACTGTGAGACCTTGTCATTAAACACAAGACCAGCCTTAGTAAGGGAAAGTGTTTATAGTTTGGAAATACACGCTAAGGCACCCTTGTGGTAAGATGCTGCTGGGTGTAGCTATAAACAAAAAAAAACTGCAGACACCTGGAAATACCTCTTACAATTTACTTGTACATTTGCACTGATCTATCTAATATGACTTTACATTATGAAAAATAAACATATTTAAACAACCTAAAGTACTTGTGTTCTTAGTAATAAAGAAATGGTTATTGAGAGTCTCGATGCATGCTTGTATCTCAAAACATCATAGTGTCCCTGGGTAGGTAAGGATGATAAGCAGCTCTAGTCGGCATGTACCCCAGTTAGGCACTGGGTACCCATGCTCCAGCCTCCCATCTGCTCACTCACTCAGCTCTGTCTGGCATTAGTCGGACAGAATGACAGCCTAAAAATCTATGGTGAAGAAGTTTCTGCTGCTTAATGTCCATTCAAGAAATAACTGAAGTATGTGGAAACAGTTATTTTAAGATGGGTAAAAAGCAGATTTGTACTCAGCAAACGCAAAGATACTTTGGGGGTATTTCTTAAAATACATGGTAGTCTAAAAAAGGTGATGTCTTACAAAGGTTTATACCTTTCTTATTCAAGGATATATTGAAATGGGAAGATTTTGTAACTGAGTGAGCAAAACTACAAACTCTCTTTTTAACTGATTGACTGGATGTGCATCCATAGCTGTGACTCCTAAATAACGATTTCAAAATATGGAGGATATTGCACATATATCCAAGGATATATCCTAGTACAGACAAACTCTAAGCCAGAGCCCACTGGATATAGTTTGTGAGCCGGTTTGTTTTGTTAAATAACACTCTGACTGGTACAACAAATACTACCACTGTTATTTTTAAACAAGATGGCCAATGCCAATTATTAGATATAGCGATTAAAGAACACAAGTGTTATCTCTACTCCCCAAATAAAACGCTAGGTGGTAAATATAAAATCAGTTTGCTTCCAGAGAAAGGGAAAAAAATGCTGCTTTTGAGCAGCTGGGCTGAGTAAGAGAGATTGGATTCCCCATTGATTTTACTTTCCCTGCAGCCTTCAAAGCAGATTCTATGCTCTGTAGTGCTGCATATACTTACAGCACTCTATAAATAAATGCCACTATGTGCATCTATTTCTGATTAAAATCCTGTGTAAATATATATGGAAATTAGGTGCTGCCCCTAGGCATCTTGACAAACTGCTAATGCAAGCTCCTGCTGCTGCAGAGGTTGTGCACTTCTGATCTGGTTCCTCACAGGCTTACTATGATAGCAATAACAAGGGTTAAGGAAATTGTTTTATGGCTTAATTAAAATAAATATATAGAATAGCCATCTGATTTATAAAGAGGCCTTACATAAGCTTGCAACAACTAGAACAGTATGGAGATTGTGAAGAGATATTAATTTTACAGTGGTCTAGAATGGTATTAGCTACAAGTGATGTTAGTAAATGTGGTTAAGAACAAATTGCCAGTAGTGAGAGTTGTTAGCAGAAAAGCTGCAAGGCAAATAAAAGCTCCAGCAGTTGAGTGATTTAAAATTGGATGGAACAAAGCACTAAAAATTATACTGCAGGGAACTACTCTGAAAAAAACCCCCAACTTCGTGTTGTTTTTCTTGGAGTTCCCTAGAGCTAACACTTTGCTAACACTGAGAAACCTACAACTTAAGCAGCATTTCACAGTCCCCAAAGTAAGCAGAAAGAACATTTTCATTCTCCAAAACCTGGTATCTCTGAAACAACAAAAAGATTACTGTGAAAATATTATAACTATAATAAGACACTGAATGCTCTCACAGTGTAAAAACAGTTACCTCTCCACCTATGTTACACCACCACTCCTCACTTGCTCGCATTACATTTCTGAATCTGACTGCATGTACCCAAGTCTAACCATTGTCCTTATAGGCCCCCTTTAAGAACTGAAAGGCTGCCCTAAGATCTCCCCAGAGCCCTTTCTTCTCCAGGCCGAACAACCACAACTCTCTCAGCCTTCCCTCACAGGAGGTGCTCCATCCCACCAGACTTTAAACTCCTATTAATTAACTTCATAGAAACTGAAGGCATTCAACCTGTAACCCCATACAAAAATTCACCATTTCTGATTGAAAAAGTCATTCTGATGGTAACAGAACTGTGCTTCTTGTGACAGACACGTACCCAGCCATGCTTTCCAGAAAAACGTATGGAGCAGGATCAGGTCTCTAGCCCACAGCAGCCTCCATCTCTCCTTACCTTCTAGTCCCACAGCTCCAATATGACCTTTTTGTAAATCATGGGTCTTTTTTATTGCCTTCTTTATTCCTGAACAAATGCTTTATTTAGAAACACAAAGGTGATCACTGATAGCATCACTGTCAGTTTAATAAGAAAACAGTAAATCCTATTTTGTTGGGGCACTGCACTTCAAATGCATACAGAGTTGGAAACATGAGCATTTTCACTGTAACTCATCGCTGTTTAGGCCAACGAACTTACTCTCTTACATCGCATTTACTAATCCTGTACTGCACTGTAACACCACACAGTACCATGACGCCCTTCTGCAATCCTTTGTTTTTTACATTAAATAGTTTGGTGTTGATGGCAAACTGTCATCTCCTTTTTCCTCAGCTCATTTGTGAATACACTAAAAGGGCACAAACTTCCTGAGGAGATTCACTAGTAAGTAACTTGCAAAAGCAACCACTTACTCCATCAAAGATCAGCTTTGTTCTGTTTTTAAAAAGAGTCCTAGGTGTGGGACACTATTCAAAAGCATTTTATAAAATCAAAAAACATCAGCAACATAATTGCTAGGACAAATATCACCCTTATGAGCATTTATAAAGGTTTAGAGCTTTACGGACAAAAAGCTTTAAAGGCAAGACTATGCTTTTCTCATTGTCACAAATCACTTCCTGAGGCCAAAAATCTTATTATGGTAAATGAAGCTTTTGAGTCTACAAAGGGGTTGTGTCACTTTGGCTGCCTTGACCACATCTCGTGTTTTTTCATACCTCTCTACTAAAGCTCTGCAGGCATTTGTTGGTAAGCTATGGCCATCACATAGCTATACTGACACTTAACACACGTGTACGGGTTACGTTGCTCTGTACCACTTTAACAGTTTCATCCGTATGCACATAAGGACTGCATTCATTGAATGGTTTGGGTTGGAAAGGGCCTTAACATCATCTATTTCAAAACCCCTGCCGCGTGCAGGGACACCTTCCACTAGACCAGGCTGTTCAAAGCGCCATCGAAGCAGGCTAGTTTTCCCAAGCCAAGCCAACGGCCTGTTGGGACAGCCCGATTGCGACATTCCATCTTTTCTGCTGGGGCTGGCAAAGTTACAAGCTCCCAAGCACAGGCAGGCTTTCACAGCAGTCCCCCAGCGCACTCCTGAGACAGCGGGCCGAAAGCTTCAAACCCCGTTACTCCCGTTACTTCTGCGCCTCCCGCCGGTCAGGCCGATGCAAGCACCGCTCCCGGGGCCCCTCAGCCGGCGCCTTTCCACTCAGGGCTGCTCCTGCTCCCGTCTCCGTCACGAAGACACCTTTACCCCACAGGCTGCCGAGCGTGGCAGGGGAGGCTCCGAGTGGACCCCCCAGCAGATGAGAGCTAACCCGCCCGCTCCTCCACTCGTCTCTCCCAGGGAAACCGCCCGCCCTCCAGAGCCCGCCGGCCGTTTCACAGAGGGTCCCCGCTCCGCCGCCGGCGCCTGCAGGAGGCGGAAGCCTGGGGGGGGCGTCTCTCACCGGGACACCGCGCTGGCGGGCGGTCTGGGCGATGTACTCCAGCCGGCGGGTCACGCTGCTCCGCGCCGCCCCGGCTGCCTCCTTCCGGCTGCTCAGACGCGCCGACACCCGCGCCCGGTCCGGGCCGGCGCTGAGCTCCGCGCTGCCGCTCACGTGCACCTCCCGGCCGGACGGAGCCGAGGGTCCGCCGCGTCCCGCCTGGGCCGGAGTTAGAGGAGTCGGAGCCTGGGCCGGGACGAGCTCGGCGAAGACGCGGGAGGGGGCCGGCGCGGACAGCGCCATGACGGCGGAACCCCCTCCCCTCACAGCAGCACCATGGCAACCAACGCCAGCGCGCCCGCTGTACCCTGGGAGCAGACCCACGTGACACCCTCACGCCTGCTCACTACCGCCACCACGCGGCGACGGCACGATGTCACCCGGCCATCGGCAGAGCGAGGCTCCCTCTCACCCGCCATGATGGGTACACAGGAGGAAGCGCCGGGCCGCTCGCTGTGGCGGTGCCCGAGGGAGGGCGGCGCTGGCCGGGCTGGAGCCGATAGGAAAGCTGTACCAGGGGACGTGTAGGTGCGCGTACTCCGAGGAAAAGCTGCCATGTTTCTGCCATTTTGGCCCTTTTACCATATTTTTTTTCCCAGCATACTAATGTCTGGAGCAACCTGAGTGTGAGAAGGACTCGTGGAGAAAGGGCTGTAGTCACCATCTGTGGAGGGAAGACTGGGGTGTGCTGCAGCACATACTTGGCTGGTAGCAGGACCTAGGCAGAGGTGACTAAAATCCATTCTAGTGTCAGTGCTGCTGGTTAGTTGTGGAGGGGTCTAGCAGCACACATGTTGGCTTTGCTAATGTCTGCTGTCCCGGTTCTGCTAATGCTGCCTTCCTCTGCCCTTAGGAAAGGCAGAGGAGTCCAGTTTGGCTCCTCAGAGAGCTACAGAATGATTGAGGTGGGAGGAGACCTCTTGGGAGGCGGTCCAGCCCCTGGCCCAAGCAGGGTCAGCCAGAGCAGGTTGTCCAGGGTCATATCCAGTTGGGTTTTGAATATTTCAAAGCACGGGCACTCCAGAGCCAATCTGGCCAATCCGTGCTAGTGTTTGACCATACATAATAAAATTGTATTTTAAAATAAATGTAAAAATAAAGGTAATAAAATAGGTAAAAATAAAGTGTTTTCTTGTGTTCACAAGGTGTTCCATGTGCTTTAATCTGTCCTGTCGGGCACCACTGAGAAGAGCCTGGCTCCCATCGGGCATTTGCATACATTGTTAAGATCTCCCTTAGCCATCTCTTCTCCAGGCTATACAGTCCCAGCTCTTTCAGCCCTTCCTCGTGGGAGAAGTGCTCCAATCTTTTAATCATGTCTATGGCCTCTTGTTGGACTCTCTCCAGTATTTCCTTATCACCCCTTCACTGAGGAGCCCATAACTGGACACAGCGCTCCAGGTGTGTGTCACCAGTGCTGACATCTCCCTTCACCTGCTGGCAGCGCTTCTCCTAGTCAGTCCGGGATGCTGTTGGCCTGCTTTGCCATGCGGGTGCATGATCTGCTTATTTTACACCAAGACTCCCAAGTCCTTTTAAGCTTTCCAGCCAGTCAGGCACCAGCTTGCACTGGTGCATGGGCCTGTTGCTCTCCAGATGCAGGATTTCTCATTTCTCTTTGCTGAACTTCATGAGATGCCTCTCGGCTCAGTTGTCCAGCCTGTGCAAATGACTATGAAATGACTAACTCAGTGACTAGGTCTCTATGTCTGGTCTCGTTTGCATAAGGGTTTTTGGGAAAGACTCAGGTAATGTCATTCCTGTTTCTATTTGTGGTACCTGGTGTTTTGATTACCTGAAATCTGGAATCTGGTACAGGGTCTGGAAGCTGACAGTACTGTGTGTTTATACAAGATCTTGCAGCCTTCAGAATTCACATAGCAAGCGTTAGAAAGTCTGCATGACGTGATGCAGGTTAATATTGCTAAACCCTCCTAGGCAAAAACATGACATGCAAAGATATCAGGACCTGATCTTACAAGTTATATGCAGAACCATCAGAAGTGGCAGGAAAGAAATATTAAGGGAATAGAATCTCTGTCTTTTTTACCTGTCATTCATCTGCCTGGTGTGGTGTGTGTTTCATGTCCCATCAGTAGGGAACATCTCTACAAACTTCTTTTCCAGTCAGTAATATCAGATCTGCTTTAAGAGGTATCAGTGACTTTTGTATGCCTTCTGACTTTTTGAGTCTTCTGCCTTTGAACCTGTTTTTCTCTCAGATTTGCTGAACACTTAAAGCTTCAAATAGAATGGATTGAACCTGTTAAGTATTTGTTATCCCTGGAGATGACACTCCATGTTTCTCAGCATGAATAACTAAAAGTAGAGACACCTAAAATTTTGAGTGTAACTGACTTAGATCAAAGTCGTATGACAAGACAGGAAGAAGCTTGTAACAGAATCCAGAAATATTGGTGCCTAGTCGTTTAACATAATTCAAGAGCTTACATGAATAAATTCTAGGCACTGATGACTTTAAGAAATAAAATATAAAAGGAAAATGAGTACAGAGGAAATTATAAATGCATATTCCTCAGAGATACATTCTTTCATTAAACAGGGAATTAAAACTTTTGAAAGTAGTTTGTCACAACAGTACTTTTTTTGTTTAGCCAAGATGTTTGGCGAGGATTTACTTTAATATGTAATGGTATCACTGTACACACTCTAAGAATTGAATGCTGTTTTATCAAGCAATCATCAATAAGCTTTTAAAGAAGTGTTGGATAATGTAATGAAGCCAAATTATGTACTCTCCAGGTTATTGTGTGATCAAGACTATTCTGATTTAATTGTTGATTAGAAGAGATTTTCGTTTTTTTGAAAGACAGCTTGTAACAAACGAGATCTGTTGGAGTAGATGCATGCATATACGTAGATGTGCAGTGAAATCTCATGTGTTATGCACCTCATAATTCAATGCTATACAATCTTTAACTTTCTGGGAATGCAGTGTGTGTTGTAGAATTATTACAAACAGGTATCATAATTAAGAGCTTAATTGGATAAATCCTAGAAGACCTTCTCTAAGACCAGTTATAAAATGACCTTAGATGCAAATTAATCTATAGAAAAATACTTTTCTTTGAAACAGGGTCAAACATTATTGAGTGGGTAGCATGCACTATAAGAACCCTGCACTAAGGATAAGTTAATAAATATAGCCACATTTTTAGTTTGCACTCAAGGGCGCTTTGTAAAGATCCAGTTTAAGTATATTGAGTCTGTCACTCAGAATTTGAATATAAAGCCAAATCTGTGGATAATAAGCTTTTCTGACTTAGAGTTTGAGTAGGAGGAGTTTTTGAAAATGATGGATTAAACTGTTATTTCAGAATTGGAAACGCTAATTTAATTGTGAATATCATTTGCTAACTTATGGTTGAATTAAAAAATTGAGAACTTAACTACAGACTACGAAGAGATGGAGAAGGTGCTAAATTGTGTGTGGGATTTGTTTTTTTTTCCTTAGGAAACAGATGGTTTCATGTTTGGATCTATTTCTGTATGGTAGCAGTGAAGTGCTACATTGCTTATGACTTTTAGCAACAGAGCTGGATTTATTTAATGAGGTAAGATTTTTGAGGTTTGGAATGCCTGTGACAAGGAAATCTCTTTTTAAAGCTGCTGCCAAATGCTTTTTTTTTTTTGTGAAAGGACAGTTTGCACCAGCCATGTTCACTGCTGTCTTTCTGTCATGTGTCTCAGATGCTGGCTTACTGTACTGTAAAGCATTTAATGAATGGAGGCCCTATGTCAGTTATATCTGTGTCTTAATTGGTTATTCCTTACAATGTTTTTATGCAAGGTTTGTCAGTCACCCACTTCTTACATGGCGTTGACAATCACTCTGTAAGCCAGATTTGTTACCTTTTCAAAACCATATGAGAGTCAAAACTGAGAAGGTTAATTCTGAGCAAATAGAAAATTCTTCTTCAGTATTTGAAATTAATTTGTCAGAGGTCTAAATTACTGAATTCTTAACTAAATAATGACTGCTGAAGAGTTCCAAACTTTTGTTTCAGAATTATTTACCTTTTAAGAAGAAACACTTGTTGAAGAAAGAGAGAACAAAATTTCTTGCCCTGCCCCTGCTGGTGTTTTATTTCCAAGATCAGTTTTTAGTGGATAAGCTGGATCCGATGCAGAACTTAAGTGCTTTCTGTGAAATCTCCTATTTTAAAGAAATGCGTGTCCTCAGTTCCTTCATGGACTAATGAAAATAACTGAGACTTACTGAGGCTTGAGCGGAACGTAGTAGGGCTCACAGGAGGTGGGACTGGTGTGAATTTTTAAGCCAAACAAAGGTTTATCGTTTAACAAGATACAGAGGTCTGTAGAGAAAGAGAAGTGTCTCCAGTCTTCTCACTCTGACCTTGCCTACACAATTTCCAGGGGTTGTTAACAATTTCTGTAGCTCAGGAGGTTTCTCAGTGAGTCTATGCTGTAGATGTCACTTACTGGAAGACACACTTCTATGAGTAGAATCTGTAGCCCAAGTACAGGACGTGGCAGCATTGCTAGAAAATATAAATGGATTTGTCACATTTTTACTTTATTTTAAACAGCTCAGCATCTCACAGATTCAGAAAAGACATCTGTCATTTTTTTTCCTCCCAGACTTCGTACCACGTAGTGATTTGACAAGACAAAGTGATTTTAGAAGTGGCTCCGTACAAAACAACTGACTCAGGCCGCGCTTAGATCTGATCTGATTTTTTCTAGTTTGAAATTAGTTCTGTTAATAAAAGTGGAAATTTATTTACTGTTTTTCTAAGTCAACTTTAACATGCAATGTGAGCAATGAAATTGTTCTCTGTAGCTAGCCCTTGATGTCAATTTAGTCTACTGGTCCAAGGCCCACAGTACAAAAAACCATCAGAACATCATTATTGATGATTTCTGTAAAACTGTAAGGAACTTAATAGAGTTGCTACTGAAATCAGTTAAGACACTGTGATTGTCTTTGGTTGCAACTTCATGAAGCCCTAAATCATGGAACATACTGATATTAATAATGCTGTCAGAGAGAAAGTTAGGTTAAGACTAATATAAATATGATTTTCATCTGTTCTCTGTGGTAGATGTCACTGAAAAGTCTCCTATTCTGTGCTCAGTAGTATCTGAAAGTGAAAAAAGACACAGTTGCTGTTCAAGGGTGTTAACATTATGGAAGTTCATCAGGGACATTAGTGATAGGACAACGCGTAATGGGTTCAAACGTAAACAAGGGAGATTTAGATTAGATATGAGGAAGAAATTCCTTACTGTGAGAGTGTGAGGTACTGGAATAGTTTACCGAAGGAAGTTGTGAATGCTCCATCTCTGGCAGTGC